TGCAGATCTGTAAATGCAAGTCAAATTTAACTCACAGTAAAAGCTTCTGGTTCCTATTTGTTTGCTTTAGATCACAGAAGTATTTTTCCCAATTCCATCATGCTGTCTTCTAATGGTTCAAATATGAGAGAGCAAAGAAATAATTATATCATTATAATTTTGTCAACATTTGAGTATCTAAATATTGCCTGTAGCAAGCGAATTAAATACTAAATAAAGAATCCTTAGAGAAAGAGAGGAGCACATTTCACAGCAATAAATTGTACATCACAACTGACTTTTTGTTTTTTAAACAGATACACATTCATCCATAACCAATGTGTGATAATACAATGGAACCTCAGATCTAATGACTTGTCTAATAAATACAAGCCACCTTTCCAGCATTTCTGAACAAACATGGAATGTGTTTTTACATAAAAAAAAAACAATTGTACCAACTTGGTATTTAAGATAATTGTAGCAGAAATACTAAGTCAAGACTTGAACCAGTGATTGAGCACCTGGTGGGAAGGCAGGGCCAACCCAGGGGAGCTCAGGTGTGTACAATGCATCTGAGTGACTGGGAGAGGTGGAACCAGGATCCACCCCATCCCAGACTTCATGTAAGAGTTGGCAGAGGGGATAAGGGGAACTCTGTAGGGATCCCTGCCTATCTGAGGTTTTCCAAAGGTATGTAGTATCCTTTCTTTATTTCTGTGTCATATGGCTGTTACATTTGAGCAAGTTCTTCCTTGCTGCAGCCTAGGGCCTTGCTACTCTGCTGTTACTGTTGTGCTTTTCATTGCACTGCAGTTGTGCTTACCACTTGGACTAGATGACATATAATGATTTCATTTCATAAAGTGTTCTAATTTATCTGCGTTAATTCACCTTCTGTTCCTAAGGGGAGGAAGAGCTATCCATGCAATGGAAGCCACGTGTAACAGAGTGTCACAGTGGAAATTTAATAGAATAAATCTCTTGAAATACTCCTGAATTATTTAGACAGTTCTAGAATAGAAATAACTTTTTTCCAATGCCAGGCCCAACTCTAATTTCCTTCTATCATGCTACAGATCTGCCCCAGCACTACGATTTAGGAAGGAGCTTAACAGTCTCCCAACGAAGTGGAGAAGTATAACAGATCAAGAGGACGTTCAATCCCACAGGGCTAACTGGAACATCAGTTTATTTGAAATATTAGTAACTGCCTGAAGTTACATAAACTATGAGTAAAACAGATTAAATCAGGAGACAAAATCTTGATGCAAGGAGGTAGTAGAAGTCCTGGGAGAATTACAGCAGGAAGATAAATGTTGTAAAAACCTTGAAAAGTTTGAAGAGCAACAGCCTCCCTTAAATGTGTTTTTTGTTACCTTCTATGAGAAAGTCATGATTCACTGTTGACCCAAATCTTCCTAAATTGCTGCTAAGAAATTACTGCTAATAAAAAACAGTAATTCAGGGCAAAAAGCTCATCTCTAACTGTTTAGAAGTACTACTTTTTATTACCTGCTATTTAGAGAATGGAAGGCAGCCAATAAAATTCTCAATAGAGCTCAACATCCTCACATAGCAAGTCATCTTATTTTCCATCTCTAAATAGCACAATGCATTGTCAAATTAGTTTCTCCCTTGCTTCAACTGGCAATTTATTATATCAATCTTCTTAAGTATTTAAAAATTAACATAAAAAATTCCTATTCAGATTCCTTTAAATAAAAGCTAAGCACAGACAGCATTGTCTCACAACAATGGAGTTATTCACATATCTACTTTCAACAGCTACATTTGGAACAAAAGCAGCCTGAATGCAGGATATATTCTTAAATTATCTATAGCCAGGTAGAACAGAAAGGTATCTTCCCTCTTGCAGCACTATACAAGAAAGGACGTAATGTCTTTAATAGGTAAGACTTTGCAGGGGTGTGTTCAATAACTATGGCTGATTTATTAAATATAAGAGATACCATTGCTATGTGATAGCCTTTGATTTACATGGCTTTTAAGTCACAGCTACCACCAGACCTTATCAGCTCCCATTTTGTCCAGGTCATAAAGGCTGTGTATTTTAGATGGCATGGGATGTATAACACCACTGCATCATTGTGTAACCTCCCATGAGAAAACAATGGATATTATTGCAATTGAAATGTAATACCCCAATGATTAAGACAGATTCTAAAGAGCAGATAGCTAAAGGGGGAGGGAAATTACAGGAAGGTAAAAGTTTCTGAGATTGAGGGGCTTGCTGACCTAACAGGTATAAAAAAAAACCTCCTGTTTAAAGACTCTGCAGGAAAGCTAAACAATTTTAGCTTTGGGAGAGAGTGAAGAATTATTTATCCAAGATGTATGCTTTTGAGGTAAAGAAGAAATATTGTCAGGGCGCAGTACCAGTAGAAGACAGACTGGAACAAACTGATCATTAGAGTAGCAAGTCAGCCACATCAGCTTATGTTCTGACAGGATTTTAATGTGATGGTAAGTTTTAATGTACCTTAGCAGTTCAGACACCTGATTCTTGATAGCCAGAGGGCAGTAAACATTGCCAGAAGGACTGGAGGTGATATGGGGAATCACAAGCATACAGCCTTTATTCCAGTTTATCATTTTGTACAAACTACATCAGAACTAAATATACATGGGAATGTAGCTTCCCTGCAGCTAAACTGCAGTGGTACTTGTTAGATTAAAGCATAAAAATGTGCTACGATCTCCAAGACAAACTTCATTGTATTAACAAACAGCAGTTGTGAATGAGCTGCAAGTCAAAGATCAACACATTGTTATGGCAAAAATAAGCAATAGTTCCTGCTGTAACAACTCTCAAAGACAAGCCACATTGTGCTGTCAAAGAAAAATTGTTTTCTTGTCATTTACTTCTGATTTTTATACTTGGGCATATAAAACAAGCACACTGCTTATTCTGTAGTGCGTATGCAGACAAGGATGTTATACAGAAAGGTTCTATAATTTTTCAGCAAAATAACCAACCAGTTCTACCTTCAGAATATATTCTGCATTAAAAAACAGAGCTATAGAAATAGAAGTTCTATTGAAAATTATTTTTATTTAACGGTTAAAAAAAAATTCAGTGAATTAAATCTGCTGCATTCAGAGCCTCCTTCCATTACTTAATTACTTTCTATCTTGAAGAAAAACAGAAACAACGAGACCAGCAAAGATTTCTGCACTGTCTTTCTGCATGTAAATTTGTGTTTAAGCTATCTGCATGTAATTCTATGTATAAGCTATAATAACAATTTAAATATTGGCCTGTTGAAGATCTGTATGTGCAACAAATCTCACACGAAGAAACATCTACAGTGACAAAGCTGATACCTCCATTCAGCACTTAGCTGAAGAATTGTTTTATTCTTAGTCTTATTAATAGTGCTTTATCTTAATCTATAAGTACAACATACAAGGGATGCCTTAAAGAAGCACAGACTCTAATCTTCATACTTTCCACAGATCATGAATAACACCTGAATTACAGTCACCACCAAAGTAGAAGATTAAATTCACTAAGGAGCAAAGGTAAGGAAGATAAATAACGGAGTCGCTCACTTCTCCACTGAAAGTCTATTTTTTTTAATATTGTATGAAGAAAATACAGAAGAGACTTTTTTGTCATTAATTAAAAACCAATACAAATTGATCCTATAATATAGTCCAGAGTAGACTGTAAAACCATAATAGCGTGTAGTATGTTTTCAAAAGAAAACTTCACTGCAAAAGATGTGGTTCAGTAACCAAGATTCTATTTTGCTAGATAATGCAGCATTTCTGCCTTGCAAAAGGACAGCAAAGCTACATTAATTCTGCTGAGCTTACACAGTTATGACTGCAAATCAACAAAGCTTTGAATACTTAATATTATTTCTGCCTAACAACTACAACTAACTACAATGAAGCCATTCTGGTATACTTTCTGTACACTTTCCACTGTAGACAATGGTTTTTCTCCCCACATGCTGTAGTCATTTTCTGCTACCCAGAAATTCAGACAATTTTGCAAAATAAAAAAGATTTGTGTCTACAGGATTATAGCAGAGCAAATGGCCAAGGTAAAGCATGAAGGCATCGGAGGCAAATTAAATGACAACAAAAATGTTTGTGTAACCAAAGGCATGAACATAAAGTCCTTATCTTATACAGTCTATCCCTTAATATTTCAGTGCCCAACACTTTTTAACTACACTGAACTATATGTGTGTAATGCACCTAGTAATCTACGAGCAAAAATCAGAATAATCACCTCGTGCGCTTCAAGGCTTGGTTTTATTTTATAAATTAATATCAAACTTCTGAGAAAGCCTGATTTTTTTTTTTCTTTTTTTTTTTCCCCTGCCAAACTCATACTGGTTTTATTGCTTTGTCTTCTGGCTTGATGCACTATACCCCTACTGTGTTCCTGTGAAGCTGCTTATTATTTGTGGCTATTACCCAAAACTAATACAACCATTATCTTTGGAGAATCGATATAAAATTTCAGGCTATCTTTCAAATACATCCCTTTATCATGTTATGGATTTTTGTCTCCAGGTGGGCTTACTACAGCTTTTTCTACTCAAAAGAAATTTGGTGGCCTGTTGCTGTTTGACACTAGTATCAAATTTGAAAGTAATAGGTAACAACTTCAGGAACTGAGAAAAAAGAATCTGTAGGTCAACTATATGAAACCCAAGTGATATAGAGCATAAAAAATACAGCAAAACACTAACAGAAAGATGACAAACCACATGTATAACACAGGTAGAGGAAGGAGAGAAAAATTACACAACCATTTTTCCTATCAGTGTTCTAACAGAATACCTGTACCATCTATCTGCACTTCTGTACAGCAAACAACTGATCTTACTTTGTAATCAGTGAACCACTTTTTCATGCATAGGTTTATCACTTTTGCCATTTCTATGTTATCAACACATCCATACTTTTAAACATAAATGATTATAAATTTCCAAGTTTTTGAGAACATCATATAAAAGTACTATCCAGAGAAGTCTTACCTGGTACCGAGGATTGGCTCCCCCAAGGCTCCCAAAGCAGAGTAGTCCATGCCATAGAAATTCAGCCCTAGAAGTATTTTATTTCTCCATTTTGAATCAGGATCCAATACTTGAATACAGGCTCGTACCCAGGGCAGTGGGGAATTTGGACCAGGTCTGTTGAGTTAGTAAAAAAAAAATCAAACAAGCTGTGAGAGGAAGTATGCATTTGCCCTCATTAGCCTTTTCTTTTGAACTAGTGTAATTGTAAAGAGCAAACTATGGTACACAAAACAGTGAAGGTTAATCTACAATCCTACAAAGGTTCCATGCATATTCCTAGGTGGCTTGAACTATCGATGCACAGAGGGTGCTTGCCCCACTCAGCCTGGTAATTCACTTCTGTGGTGAAGAGACATGAAACTTTTTACTGTGGGTTTCCACCTAGCACATTTTCTCTGTCATGGAGCTTTGCACACTGCCCACAAAACATTTCAAAAATCTGTACAACTTCAGTTTTTTCCAGTACCTTATTAATACTGTGTTGTACTGTACGCTAGCATGATACACTGGAACAAAATCTACCATTTACTTGTAGAAAGATCTATAAAGGCAATGACTGATAAGCAATACAGGTTTCAGTGACTGCTTAAGGTTTGTACACTACTTCTGCTTGAAAACCTAAACAGATAATTGTCTACTAACAACAAAAAGCTACATGAATGAAAAAGTGTAGCACTAGAATACTCAGGGTAGTTGAACTGTCCTATACGCAGTATCAGGCTACTTCGCCTCCTAGCTCATCAGGGACGATAGCAACAAGTTTTACTGCAAAAATTCAATAACATGATAAAAGTAAAAGCATGTTCTAATCTTATAACTATAAACATAATCTACTTTGCTAATTATCTGCCTCAAAGCCTTTAGGATATCAGTGACATTAAAACCATGTGCTAACAGTACAGAAATTTTGCTGTGTTATCCTACATTTAAAATACTCAAACCAATCAAAGTTAATTCAAAAGAAGATTATCTGAACTACTTTTTTTTCAAATCCTTTCTCAGAAAATGTATTTTGAACACAATGGGCGTGTTAACTGAAGACTGCCTTCCTCATGTGTTGAAGTACAAAAAAACCTAGCTTCAAGTTAGATCTACGTAGCTTAATGTAGCAGTGGAAGAATTAAGATGAGACTGTGCCATAACAGGTCTTGCAATTTTAATATGTCATAAAGCGTGGTGAAGCTTCACCACACAGGAAAGTTGGTAGCATACAGTATAGTGTGTATCTCTAAATGTATCCGAGGTTCTACATAGGTTTGAAAAGTCTGTAAGAAAGTCCTTAGCATCTCATCTTCACAGAGGTCAGATTTACATAGAAGAAAGCTACAATGGTTATCTCTATGCTGCATATTTCAGCAGAAGAGGGTAGCAAATAACCATTTTAATTTCAAATATGTTCCTTTTCCCTAGGGTGCTAGGCTTGATGATCTAGTAGAAGGGTCTGGGAAAAGAGATAAGAAAGAGATATGTAAGCTTAATAGAAAAGAACTTTAGTCTCTTCAGAAATAAACCTGTATAGACCCTATCAAAATGCTAGAATGCTACAAGTGGCAGAGGTCTTAGTGATGTAATTCATGTATTTCTACATCTGCCAGCTTACCAGAAATGTTAACTGTAGACAACCATACTGAAGCAAGATAATTGAGTCACCCTGGAAGTCAAAGAGCATTTCTTTATCTGTAATTTGGAGATGAAATGAATCACACTTCTGGAGGATGATGATGTTAAAAGTCTGAGTTTAAGGACCTCTCAACTTGATTGCTGTTCTACTTCCAAAGACATAAAAATCATAAGTTCCTGAAAATGAATATTCACGTACAAGAGTGGAGTTTTGTGTTGCTTTTCAGTTAGATCAGCTGCTTCATTGAGCTGCTGCACAACAGCTGTAGAAATACAAAGAAGGGACTAGTGGAGGAACATAAAAACATGTTTAACCATGATCACATCAGCAGTGCTGTCAAAACACAGTCTGCTGCCTCATGAGGAATCAGACAAGTGAGTTGTCAATTGTGCTTTAAAGCTATTCTTTCCAGTGACATGTACAGGATATTCTGTACCAATTGTGCAGAACTGTGTCAAATAACTAAAAGTGAAAAATTCACCTGGAAACAAGTGTCACAGTACCAATAAAAGAATAATTATTTAGCTCAGGTGCAAAGCCTTCTAAAATACTGTGTGCCAATTCTTCACTGCAGCTAAATCCAAATTATTTGCTGGTTCAAAGATCAGCTGTTCTAATTACTAACCCAAAACTTTAGTATCTGATACAGTCAATACACACTATCCGCTCTGTGTAAATTTAAAAAATGACAAACCTCACATTGTAGATTTCATAATACATATGAAATAGGAATAGGAATCAGTTACTTCAGTTTTTTGTTTTTCTAGTGTTAGAGTCTTACCTTTGTGGTGTCGAATAGTCATATGTCATGAGACTGAAGCTGTCTACTGCTGAGGCCAACTGATCAAATTCTTTCTTTGTGAACATTCCTGGCTGGTTAGTCCTTTTAAAACAAATTTAAAAAACAAATAATTAAAAAAAAAAAAAAAAAAACACCAGAAAGAAATTATTTTCACAACCTGGCTGACATCCCTGCCCACAGTGTGTGGGTTGGAACTAGATGACCTTTAAGATCCCTTCAAACCACAATCATTCTGTGATTCTATGAAATTGAATGAACCCATTCTGCCCCCAGTTTGAGGAAATTCCACTCTGTGACCTTCATCACACAAAAGTTTAGCTATGCCTTCAGTATACCGTTATATGAATTCTTAACTCCCTCTATTTATTTTAATTAAAAGCAAATAACTGTATTCATCATTTACAAAATCTAGCTTCATGAGATGAGAGGGTGCATTTTTGACAGTTTTGGGTTCATAGAAACACTTGACTTTCTTCAACCATTCAACCCGACCAATTACTGCACACAAGTTCTGAGTATGTTTCAAAAAGAATTCAAAACATCAAACTAGCAGTGCACAAAAGGAAGCCTTAAGCACATGGCAAAGATGCAAGGAAATCACTGTCCTCAGCCAGAGAGCTCTGAGGCACAGGTAGAGAAGCCGTTTGTTATCCTAAATAGCCTGGGAGAGCAGGGTTTGCAGGAGAATCCTACAAATAAAAAAGTAGTTTAACAGCTACAGCCTCCTCTATAGGAATGCATGAGATTACACTTGAGAACAGAGGGGAAGACACTGAAGACTTCACAACTTTCCAGTGATATTACTTTTCCTAGAAATTAGCAGATGACCCCTATCTAGACAAAGCACAGATTAAAACCACTCATGGTCCAACTCAACTGTAAAATCCAAAAAGATACTCGGTAACAGATGCAAGTAATAAAAAGAAAAAGAATCACTTGTTTTGACCCTTATCGCTTTTGGATCAGTGTCTAAATTCTTCATTCAATATTATGTGCTAAATGGATCACCAGAACATAACAGCATTCATTTATCAGTTTAAAAGGACACTTTAGGAAAGCAGTTAACAGAGTACAGGTTATAAAGTGGGGCAGAATAAATCATTTAACATATGTCATATTATAGGTGAGTAAAGCATGAATGACATTTGCAAGTCAGGTCAATGAATGAGACTGAATACACACTGGAATACGTAGCCCAAATTTGTACAAAGCATAGCGCTGTTCTAACAGGTTCAGGTTTTCAGAACCAGTGATATACTTGTCACATTAAAAAGCAATTCCAATCTTTTCTTTCTGAGGTTTTAACAAATTAAAATAAATGTTCACTTCTGGAACCCATTGCTGGACCCTAATTTTTTGGATAGTTATCTGCTTGTGATTTGCTGCAACTGCAAGCTACAGCTGTTTTCCAAAATAAAGAAAATGAAGGACATTTTTGAAATAATGTCATGGCAACCTGGATGCCTGCAGGCAATGCAATTCCCCAATGAAAACCCCAACAAAACACATTTTCAGTAAATTGATTTTGATTACTCATGACAGGAAAAGCATAAAAAGTAATTATAATGTGCATTAGATATTATAGTGAGTTAGATTGCATTATAGATTAAGCTGGGTAGTATTTTAATGAAACTTGGGTGTAGAGGGCAAGTAATGTATCCACTTTTCATATGAATTGTCAAGGAACATGGAAAAAATTGAGGTTAAAATGGATATAGTCATCATTTTCTGCAAAGCAAGCTTGTAACCAAACTATTTTAACTACAAAGGAAATCCATTTGAGAAAAAGGGCACAAATTTCCAACTTAGAATAAATCTGGCAGGAAGGAAGATGCTTTGCCCTTTTATGGATGGCATTTAAAAAAGTACCTAAGGATAAAAACAAGTATTTTTGTACAGCTATTATTCTTCTTATTTAAGGTTTTCTAAACACTAAAGTAATCCTAACTTAAAGGCAGATATGTTCTACTGGGTACATCATTGAGAAAACTACCACAAAGAAATTTGAGAGACTCTGCACAGAAAATGCAACAGAAATTCATGAGAGAAAGTTTTTAATGTAACCCAATTGTCTGTCATTCTCTTAAGCTCTGAATATCATTTCCAAAATACTAAGCAAAGTGACAGAGTCCATCAGCACTTACTTACAGTGTATAAGATACATACTAAGGATACCTGGTTATTGTCAGATGACCAGAACCATGGTGATTTTTTCTGCTTATTATCAATGCAACACAAATGCAAAGGGACAGAAGGCACATACATGAGCATGACTGGCAGGAAAAGCAAATGATTTACTATATCTCAAAGTCTTTTTGCTTGGAACTAACCCTGACGTGAACTCTGAAGTGCTTCATTTTCTTTATCTTTGAGTTCACCTGAAGATAGCACTGGATAAGACAGTGAATAAGGTAAGTACAGGATAAGATAGTGAAGTCATACACTAAATAGAAATCTGCTGTGTGGAAAAAGAAAAAAAAAAAAAAAAGAAAGGGGTCCTTCTGATCTACAAATATACTGAAATTACGTAATGTGTATTATGAAGGTGAAAGAATCTGGATTCAAGAAGTAAATTTAAAGCAGTATTCATAATAGCTTATAGTAAACCCTTCTTATTGCTATTGTTAGATTGTTTGTGTTCTTTTGCCTCAATATCTTATGCAAATTTCATTCACCTTCCTTAACATTCTTCTCAGATGACTAGTGTTCTTACTTGATTCTTACGTCAATTGTTCAACACAGTTAACTAGGAACATAGTAACTGCTGACAAGAAAACTCCAGCTACTCAGGTTTGGAATTGGCCATCTAATCAAGACTAACTTTGCGTGTACGTGGACTATAACAATCACTCCAAGAGGAGAAATTCACCACAGAGATGACTTTTACTGCACACTAGTTACCGCAGTGAAACAACAACAGCAAGCCCCAAGAGAAAACAATAAAAGAAACCCTATACACTATTACAGAATGTGCAATCATTTTTTTCATCTGGACATACTATCCCTCATGACATATAGGACATGAGCCCAGGTGCTGGATGAACTTGCCTATCTTGTCTATCCTTTTCTAGCGAACCACTGCATTATGAAGAGAAAACAAGCACTCTACTTGAGCATAATGTTTAAGAGACAGAAACATTTCTAAGAGGTGACACAGTCCAATTCTTGTTTGGACTACAACAGCTGTCCAAGACACATTAATAGCTTTGCTTTAAAGCAGTCAGTTTCCTTGAGAAGTGATACAGCTTCCACCATGTGCTCTAAAGAGATTAATTTTCTTAGCTAAAATACTGATTTTCCTTTTCAAACTTTGTTTCTACAACCATTCTTTCCATTTTTAGCCAAGCCACTTTTCACTTGACTAAGAAGCTGTGGCAGATTTACACTGATGGCCAGTTGAACTCAACCACAATCACTCTCTTATTCTCACTCCTCAAAATAAGAGGCGGAAAAATATGATCAGGGAGGCAGGGGGAAAGACTCGCAACTTGAGATAGGGTCTACGTGACTAAAGAGGAGAAAAGAGAGAAAAAAAAAAAAGCAAAGGCGATGTGGAAGTAAAGAGAGAGAAAACAATTACTCTCTACTTCCCACTAGCAAGCAATGCTCAGCCACGTCTTGATAAGCAGAGCCTCAATACGCATAGTGATTTTTCAGGAGGACAGTCATTTTCATAACAAGAATCCCCCCTTCTCTTTCTCCTTTCCCAAGTTTGATTTCTGAGTGTGATATCTTATGGCATGGAACTGACGCTAGGTCAGACTGGGCCAGCTGCCCCAGCAGTGTCCCCTCCCTACCTCTTGCCCATCCCCAGACTCTCAACTCTTGGAGGTTTGAAGAGAACCTCAGTGCTGTGCCAGCACTGCTCAGCATGAGAAAAAAACTTCAGTGGGACAGCTAGACACTGTTCTAGCTACAAATACAGAGCACGGCATTATATGGAGTGTTGTGGGGAAACCAAACTCCATCCCAGACAGACCCGGTACAGAAGCTCTTTTAAGACTCCCATTTTCATTTGTAGGCTTCTGACACAAATTTCTTTTAGACAATGCAGAAAAAAACAGCAATTCCCCTGAGATCGTAGCTCTTATTTGCATATATTCCCTTCAGTTTGTTAGCATCTCCTGATGGCTTACTGTTTTATGCATATAAAAAAACTACGATAGCACACATATATAAATGTCAGAGACTCACATGAAAACTCATTTTTCTAGCCATTTCTCTATACACGGCTTAGAATTTCACTGTCCCTTTTGATTATGCTATCCTTTTCAAACCTAAGTGCAGAGTAGTTTGTATCATAGCTTAAGAATCTCTATGACCTGCACCTTCCAAATAGCATTTGTATCGAAATTCCCATTAGCGTTTTACTGATAAGTATTTCTATAGGGTTTTTACTTTGTCATCTTTCATATTGAAAGACTGGAAAAAAAACAAAAATTCAACCATGCAAGCCATTTCATTTACTTTCAAATGAATCTACATTTTCAATTACTTCTTGTCTCACTATGATTACTCTCAAAATGAAATAAAATAAGAAAAAAAGGTCTTGTAACTGACTGCTATTCCCTGCAAGTTTGAACTGCATTCTTGTTTGGTTACCTCACCTTCTCCTTCTCTTATAAGAGAGAGCTTTTCTTTATCCTCATGTCTCTGAATAGTCCTTCATAATGGAAAGCTGATTGATTTTCTGTTTCCTCTATACGTTTATTTCAGAAGTCATCTGCTCAGTAATGACTTAATTCTCTTGTTGTGTGTAATTCTGTTTTCTCTGTAAACCAGCTGTTTGCAAATCTTCCCTTCTCTGCTCTTTCATCACCATAGATCTTATTAGTTTTCATAGCTCCTCACAGTTAGCTGCACTGAAGTATAAATGCTATTGCATTTTATGAACAGACCACTGAATTCAGTTAATGCACGATCACTGCATACAAATGCACTGGTTCTTTCTGCATCCAGCCTGTTCTACAGTAAACACGAGAAAGAGCTAAATCTCTATTCTGTGGAGCATGCAATTCTAGGCACTGATAATGAAGCAGTTAAATGAATAAACAAGTTAAAATCCTAAATCATTTTCTTCT